TCCGTCTTCAATTGTTTGCACGCTCGTGTTGGACAGCTGTAAGCAGTCTCCGTCTGCCCCTGCTGCGCCGACAACGGCAGAAACAACGACAGCCGGTGCTGGCGCTGCAGCACCAGGATCTTTCCAGAAACCGGATATTGATGTACCAGAATGCGACCGCGAGTGCTCTGGTCCCTGGTCGTCCCCTGTGGGTATGCTTAATGACTCATTTAAAGATCGCGGCATTAAGGACTTGGTCTTTATATGAACGTCTCCAGTAACACAAGACGAGGATAATGCTTTTCCCAGTTCGATCTCGAGTCCAGCTCGTGCTTTCCCTTTGAGATCCAAGGGAAGAGTCGATGGTACAGGAGAAGGTTGCAAGTTGACACATGTCCGAGTGATCGACAGCCCACTGAGAGCCAGTGATTGAGACAACGACGTTGGTGGTGTACTAATATTGCTTCCAGCATTGGTTGAGATAGCAATGGATACGATAGACGAGGAAGATGACGATGTGGACGGTGACGACTCGGTCTGAACCTTAAACTGGGGTGGATGTAGGGCCATCGGAGCCATTTTACGTTTAGCCTCGGCCTCAGCGTCCCGGATGCTCATTAGGCTGCGGACAGGGACTGATGTCGATTGACTGCTCGGTACCCTCGGGATATGCGAAGCCGTATTTGTCAATGAGTTGCCGGCAGAGGAAGTGAGCTGCGTAAGAGAGCCATGCGAACCGCTCCCAGCAGTCACACCGCTTGTAAAAGCATGAAGGCTCAGATTTGAATGACTGGATCGACCCAGGCTTCGAGTAGGACTCGGCAGAGGCTGAGAATCAAAAATCTGGACCTGGCGACGAGCACGCTGCTGTAGGTGAGGTATTGTCATTCCAGATCGCGTCTTGGTTGGCAAAGGCACGCCGACGCGACGGGAAGTTGGACTCGGGGACCGAAATAGCTCATCCTGAATGTGATTCTCAATGTCCGGAATCGAAATTACTAAATGGGGAAAGAAATTGTCAGTTATGATTGGCCAAAGATAAGGAAGAATATATTCCAAATGTAGAAACGGAAGGGTGTCGTACGTCCCGTTGTACAAATTTGGTAATGAACGAAAGGAATGCACAACACAGGTTAAGTGGGGCCAGATAAGGACTTACAAATGTTCTCCGGTTTGATATCCGTATGGACAAGGTCGCATTCGTCGTGAAGATATTCCAAACCAAGGAGAATTTGCTTGGCAATTATCCTTACTACGGCCCGGGGCACACCCTTTTTCTTATGTCGTTCTATGAGTGCCAGAAGATTTTCACCTAGAGGTTCAAACACGATGCAAATATGGGATGATTCTGGACCTTGGTGGGTGAACGAATCGAGAAATGACACAATATGAGATCTTCCGGGATGGTTTGGCGAGAAAGATTGTACGCAGGAAAGCAGTTTGATTTCGTCACGGGCTGTTTCAGCGTACCGCCCAGCCGATTTGACTACTTTGAGTGCAGAATGGCGTTCTGTTCTGCGTCGCATGTCAGCCGATAGATCTCGCATGAAAGAAACTCGAGCCGTACTGCGCGTCCTTCACGAGCCAGACGGTAGAGAAATGACCCCAACTGTGGAAAGGAGGTTAGGGAAAGAAATGAAAAGGAGATGAGGTGGCACATGCCCTAGCTTCCTGACTACACGATAGCGGTCGTTCTTGAAGGTGTCGTTGAGCTTTATCGGCAAATAACCGCCTGCGTTGTAGTCGGCAGGACTCTCTTCATCCTTAACAGATGGTTCATCAACCGGGAGGATCTTGGGCCCAGCAGGGGTAATGACGTATTGGTATTTAGCACAAGGTTTTTTGTGGGCCATAAGGGGACCAAGAGGGACGGGCGCCACCGAGGAAGGAGGAGAAAGAGGGGGACAGGCGTTGGCTGATAATGACGGCGGGGCGCGGGGGCGACGGTGATTGGGTGTCACAGACTCACGGTATATGTCACGGTGTTCCAGGGTCCTTGGTAGAGATAACGCTGACTAACTGTGGACGCGATTCACTCGGAGGGGTGCGTTTGCTTAACAATGCTATTAATCTAGACAGTATGAGCGGAGATTACGCCGTTATTTGGGATGGTACCTAAAAATTATGACGCCATACCATGCTGTGGAGTAGTCAAGAGGGGAAACGTAACTGAAACTGGTTACCGTAAAAACAAGCCAAACAACCTTGAACAACCCGCGTTTCTCGTCCCCGTCAGGTCTCTTCTATTCTATCACTAACCCGTCCTTCCCCTCTCTACTTCCACCTTATACAAATATGCCTTCCCGCCTGGAACGCAATCTGCGTTCCTCGCCCCTCTACATTGACCCTTCTGCCACTTCTGGTAGGACCGGAAATATGTCGACCACCGCCAACTTTATAGGTGCCGTCGAAGATGAGTGGCAGATGTATAGGTCAGTTCATCATGATATCGTCCGCGAACATCTCTCAGCCTCTCTTTAGCGACAATCCTGCTGACTACAGCATTGGAGACCCTATCGGGTTTGGTGCTTCCTCAATAGTTTACAACGCAACGTATACCCCCCGCCCCTCCACCAAGGGCACCCCTTGTGCACTCAAAGTCCTCGACCTAGATTCTCTTCCCCCACGATCGCTGCAGCTTCTGCAGCGCGAAACCAGACTCATGTCTTTATCAAAGCACCCTAATGTACTTCGTGTTAGGGGCTCTTGGATTGTTGGCCATAAGCTGTACATAGCGCTCCGTCTTATGAATAAGGGGAGTGCCGCTGATGTCATGCGTTATGGTTGGCCTGGTGGTATGGAAGAGGAAGTTTGTCGTTGCATCCTGCGACAAACGTTGCTAGGCCTGAAGTATGTTTTTGTTCATCCTCCGTTCTTCTCTTATTAACCGTGAATTCAAGCTACCTCAACGTTAATGGGTTCATTCATAGAGACATCAAGGCTGCAAACCTCCTGATCGACGACGACGGTACTGTCCTCTTGGGTGATCTCGGCGTTGCCGCAGATTTATCCGAAGACTCATCGCACCCTACGTCAAGTCATTCATACAAATCGTATACCGTAACTGCCAAGGCGGCGTTGTCTCAGGCACCGCCGCAAGCGAAGCGTTCATCATATGCTTCCCATACTGTTCCCAAGCCTCGGATCGGCAAAAGAAAATCGTTTGTGGGTACTGTGAGTATCGTCTCACATCAAGTGTATGGAGACGTCCATCGCTTGTTCTTCTCAAATTATGAATTCTTATTATTATTTTTTCCCTAGCCATGCTGGATGGCACCAGAACTCATCCAGGGCAAGCAATATGATGCTTCCGCTGACATTTGGAGCTTTGGCATCACAGCTATTGAATTGACAAAGGGGCGACCACCTCGCTCCAGGGACCCTGCCAAGACTGTATTACTCCGAACGTAAGATTTGTTTACACGTGCCCGCTTCCTTCCCATTGATGGCGTTTCAAGTGTACAAGAAGACGCGCCCACAATAGATAGGGAGAACGGCACATTCAAGTATTCTCGGGCCTTCAAGGAGGTTGTGGACAGATGTCTAGCAAAGGATCCTTCCAAACGGTGAGCTTTCGCGCAAAATCCTTCTTGATGTTTAATATAACTTTGACCCAGTCCAACAGCAGAGGAACTTCTTCAGCTGCCGTTTTTCAAAGGAGCAAAGAAGAAATCTTATCTTGTCGGCGCCATACTAAGTTAGTATTAATGCCATTGCAGTCTAATAACGATGCTCATAATTTGGTCAATTAGAAGACTTGCCACCCCTCACTCAACGGCTAGAACGTTGTTTGATCAATCACAACACGGTCAATCACCGTACAGTCGATTCATGGGACTTTACAACTACAATTCACTCACCGGGTAGCAGCGTCCGGAGACGCATGATATTTGACCTTCCCTTTGAACCAGAAGAGGAAGACTCCAACAGCGTGTTTAGCCCATATGACTCCGATGACGATTTTGGAGAAGAATGCGACGCGGATATGTTGGGCAACGATATTTACACACCGGCTCCGGTGACAGGCAAACGTACCGATGCTATTCCTATCCCATTCTCCCATTTGGGTTCAAACGTCATCGGGACCGGATCCCCTTCCTCGTTTCCCGCAGACGATTCGGCCCCATCGTCGGCATCCGACTCCCCCATCACGACACCAAAGTCACAAGCATCAGATATACATTTAGATGCTGCCGCCATTCTACCACCTTCGATGTGCGGTTCGCCGCCATCCGGAAACCTACCCACTCTATATCCACAAGCATTGGAACCTGACTCCAAACCTAATATCCTGCTCTCCAAGAAGCCTAGAAAGGCACCCGCATCGCCTTCACTTCCGCGGTCTTCTCACAGACGTCCTGCTACTGCCTCCGACGTAGGGGGGTTTTCTAACCGGGAACAACCTATCTCAATGAGTCCAAGCAATCAGGGGATTTGGCAGAAGATCCGGACCAATGTCCGCAGGCCATCTTTCCGCGCCAGCAACGCGGAGTCTCCACCCAGCAAAGCACTGAACAAATTCGGAAGTAGCGGCAACAGAACGGATGTCGTGAATGACTTCACGTCTCCCGAGCCTGCACAACGTGATCCACTCGTGAGAGCGCTACTCGATAAAAAGGAACAAAGCGGAGTGGGACGAATTGCCAACAAAGGAAAGCAACTCTATCGAACAAGTAGCCGGACTTTCCAGGCAGTAGGTAAGGTACCCGTCTGCTGAATAAACCAGATAACCGATTGAACCCCACTATTTAAGCTTTCAAGCAGAGTAATAAATCATGAGCTTGCGCTCCGGTTTGTTCCTTTCGCCGCACAGCCAACTTGGGCGCCCCGGTCGCTCACGAACACATGCACCATCCACTATTTCCTATGCGTTGACCAGATTGTTCCATGTATAAATATATATATCCAATCTTGTAGCATTTTAGTGGATTCATGCCACATACCTTGTCGTTCTTGTAATTTTTTCAGGGATCACTCTTATGATATCCAACTATCAAAGATATTGTATAAACATCTAACATGCCCGCCTAGCTCAATCGGATAGAGCGTCAGACTCTTAGGCGGTGTACCGTGGTGATCTGAAGGCTGCGAGTTCGACCCTCGCGGTGGGCTACTATTAAAATTTTTTGTATTTTTTTCTTCGCGAGATGTTTTGATTTAACGAGAGCACCGGCAACGTACATGATTTGTCATTGAACCTCCCTGCCCGTTGTGCAAGAAGGATCTGGAACAGATACAAAGTCAAGGCACATAACGAAAAAAAAAAGACAAGACAGTTAGCCCACCGCGAGGATCGAACTCGCAGCCTTCAGATGCCCTGTAGACTTTCGTCTTTAAAAGTCTGACGCTCTATCCAATTGAGCTAGGCGGGCAACGATAACGAAAGATAAGCAAAAAACATTACGCGGAGATGATAGCAGGCCAATAGTTCAAAACTACAATTATAGATACTAAGATAGGTTATGTTTGGTATCCGTACAAACTTCATACAATAGACCCGACATCGGTTATTGGTTACACTCCAACCCTTTACCCAAGTCAGCCGAGCGTTAAAAAAAAGTCAAATGAGCCGTACCTATGCACCACTTTTTTCTGGCGAATTTTCGCTCCATCAGTAACACGATCATCAAGACACGGGAGAAAGTACCACTAACCTGTCCAGAGAAGCGGATAACTTCTTTCTTTTCCAGAACGTATAGCGTTCTCTCGAGGGCATGACTGGAGTACCCTTGTTGTGTTACAAATTCTCGGACGAGACTCTGGTAACTGGTACTCCAGCCAACCGGCAACCGACGCCGTAGCTCGCGCTCTATACGTGACATTTCTTCATTCAATTCTCCTCGGCTCAGACCATCAGCCGATCCGCTCGTGACGGCATCCATCGTCGAATATTTGAATAATCGGATCGCTTCTTCAACGTGATGATTTTGTACAACCGGTGACAATGTCAGCTTGGCGAGGGATTCGGATATCCGAATGATGGCTTCCAATTGTCTGGGACCTGATATTAATCATGGTGATAAAAATGATAGGATGGTCGTACCGTATTGTTATTGGAATGGAACTCCTTTCATCGTTGTCACGCTCGAGCTTTTGAACATCTTGCCGCAGCGTTACGAAATGACTGCTCAGCATTTCCTGCGCTTCGGGCGATAATCGCGGTGCACATTTACTTGTGTGCATAATCAGCGACTTGGAGCAGGAACGTTGCACATGGCAACCACGAACCTTTTACAATATGCAATGTACCGTCTCATCTTGTCCAAAGCTATCTCTCCATCATCGTTGTTCTCATCGGTGCCATTCGGCCGGTTCATATGAATGTTCATAACATGACGTGCGATGTTCTGGTGTTCGTATTAGAAAAAAATCCGATGTACGCATAAGCATCCTAACCCTGTCTCTTGTCTCATTGTGTTCGTCCTTGACAATGAAAATCATATCAAATCGAGAAAGAATTGTTGTTTGGAAGTCGATGTTCTATAAATCCAGTTAGCCGAAAGGTACGTTGTTCCAAGTAAGTTCCTTACCTCTCCTGGACTTCGGCCTTCATCATATCGCCCAAAGACGGGATTAGCTGCAGCTAGGACACTTGTTCGGGAGTTGAGAACTGTCGTTATACCAGCTTTCGCTATTGAAATCGTCTGTTGCTCCATGGCTTCGTGTATTGCTACACGATCGTCATCTCTCATCTTATCAAACTCGTCTATGCATACCACGCCCCCGTCCGCAAGGACCATGGCGCCACCTTCCAGATAGAATTCGCGCTACGGTATATCAGTAGCCGATAGTAGTATGTTCGGATAAACTTACGGACACCGCATCCCGCTGTACTGAGGCAGTCAAACCTGCAGCGCTGGAACCCTTTCCAGAAGTATAGACTGCTATCGGTGCCACCTGATGCGAACCCTCAGCCACTGACGCTGCGCAAAATAATGTATTTACCTTTTCGACAAACTTCAAAAGCTGACTCTTGGCAGTACCTGGATCACCGAGTAACAAGACGTTGATATCACCCCGCAGCCGTAGGCCATCTGGGAGGACCTTCTTCGTGCCGCCGAAAAGCAAACATGTAATAGCCTTCTTGATGTCTTGTTAATTTTCATTAGTGCAATTTTTGTTATGATTTTTCTCTTGTTCACTGACCAAGACTGCCATATATACTTGGGCCGACACTTTTTGAGAAACGCTCGTAAAATCCTTCACTTCTGGACATTTCCACAAATTCTTCCTCCTCTTCGGGAGAAAATTGTACACCAAATGGGTTGGAGCCACCGGCGCCGGAAGGCGAAGTGAGTTCAAGATGAACGACCCGGAGATATGGTTGACGCAACGCTATTGCGCTAGCGTTTTTCTGAAACGGCATTGTTTAAAGCCGAAATGAAGTAACTCTAAAAAAACGTACATTTTTAGCTGATTGGAATGTCGAGTAAATGCCTGTGGCAATTACTCTTGACCCGGGAACGACCTTTCCGGTAAGATATCTGTCTGCCGAGAGGAGGATATGCCGAGGAAGCTCTCCCACCGGTACCATGTCTGGAGCCTCTTGAAGCTTGAGAGACTGGTGATCGGCGAAAGAAGATTTGTTGTGGACTATCAAATACGGATCTAGAGGACAATCTTTCTTCCCGTCTGCTGAGGTTGCTTCGCACTGACGAGGCAACCCCCGATCAGAACCACTTCCGAGTCCTCCTAGACCACTGGGTGGGTACATGACTTTGATATGTCCGCACGCCCGACAATGCAAGTGTAGCCTAGTTGCGCGAGAGAATAGAACAGAAGCAGAGATGACAATCCCTGGAATTCTGACAAGTTTGTTCATTGTATCAGCAGTGAGACCTCGGAATTGCAACAAGTTAAGTGCAGAAGAGAGGGTTATTTGCACTTTCGGAGTGGTTGAATCTTGGTCTTCTGCATCCGCATCTCTTCTGGGAGATAATATCAGACGTGCGACGCGCGTTGCGGCATTCTCGAACTACGTGGAGTGAGTAAACGTCATGCATCGTCGAATAACAGACATACCAGGGGAAGCACATCGGCTGGCTTATCCTGTATCACATGTGCCAACTCGTCATTGTACAGGCTAACATGCCGTAAATCGACGTCAAGGATGTATTGCTTCAGTAGAAGATTGGCGCGCAGTTTATCTCTAAGGATACATTAGAAAATATAGCACAGAAGAACAAAGTCTGGGTCACCTGTATATGAATTCTCCTCCAATACGATACTGCAAAAGAAAGTCCACGAAAAGTTTTTCCGTCTCGGAAGGTGATTCTGGCGCGGCGGGTGTAGGAGCATCGTGAATGGCGACTGTGTAAACGTTATTAGCATCGAAACCGGACATTGTGACGGGAGTATAGAATCGAGCGCGTAATTGGCTTCAGGGCAGGTTAAGTCGCGTCCTCAATCATGCAGCCTTATCTTCTACCATCCCATCCAGACCTTACTTGCTCTGACCCCCTCAGTGTAGTCGACGTCGAGAATCCAACCGTCTGGCAGGTAATCACCGCACATATCGCGTCCATAAAGTCACTGGTGCATCTCCCCGATTTAATCGAGGACCTGGCCTATTCTCTTCACGGAAATGGGAACCTTGACACCCTCTTCCTTCGTCAGTTTCTAGGTCATACCTTTCGGGCCTCCGATCCGGTGGCAGAGCATGTCCTGAGCAACGTTGTCGAAGCTGCATTTTCATTGCCTGTCATGTTTCCGTCACACTCCATAAATCACCTGTCCCTGCACAACCCCCTTATGATCTTGACCACTCTCCAGGCTCGATCGCTGGTAGCACACCAGCTCCTAGGCACATTGAAAGCACCTCAAGGTAATGACTGGGGTCCAAACCTCTTTTGCTGGTATTCCATCCCCCAGCCACTTGAGAATGCTGTCACTGGCTACCTCACAACCTTATTCCACTACTTCAAGGAACGTGGTAATCAGTCCTCCTTCGTGAGGATCGAATTTTGCTCAGGTTTAGCAGCTGATGCTCCCTACCATGCGTTCCAAACCTGCCGTAAACATGCTTTTGGCAACCTGGTACTTCAACCTACTGGGATTACCACTGTTCCATTTCCACATGAAACCATTGATTGCACCGTCATTTCCTCCAATGCGTCACCCGGGTTCGGCTCATCTTGTACACAAGAAGAATTCGTGACGGCTGCTTGCCCAGAGTTACTGCCCATCGGAGCCCTTTTGATATCACCCCCTCTTCCACCTGATGCGGCGATATTGGTGCGAAACGTAACTCCAGTATCACAATGGGCTGGGCAAGGCAGACACGCTCGTCTGATTCAGACGCAGAATGGCAGGCCGCATGATTTTTTGCTAATTGACGCGTCGGAGCTAGATATTAGTTCTGCTCGCTTTCCTGACCTGGAACCTGCTACTTTACAGCGTGACCTGCATAAACTACTCGTAGGTTTCGTTGCCTTGCGCAGAAATTCCGTCTCGAGAGTCACATCCCCAATCTGGGGCTCTGGTAGCTTTGGTGGTGACCCAATTGTCAAAGTAATCATGATCGCCGTGGTCGCAGCATTTACAGATCTCCAAGTATGGTTATCTATCGACGAAACTCGTCCCACTACTACACCTGTTAAAACAGTGCTGGAGGTCTTACAGGATTTGAGCAACATATGTCGAGATATGACGGTTCAGGAGGCCTTGTCGATACTCATATCTGACGATGCCCTACGTTGCTGTGACGGATGGGATATTGCTAGATTATTTTCCAGTAGTAGCTTGGGATGACGTAGTCCGGTTACGTAAGCACCATGATACTCATTTCGAATTGGATTGCCGTGCGTTAGACAGCATGAGTGCAATGGACACAGATGAGGCGTCCGTTGTTCTTTCATCAAACACGGCGTCTGGACTCAGTGTATCTTTGTGAGCAACATAATCTTTCTTTCATTATGACATCCTCAACCCTATCAGACACCCCTTACCTATCCTAAACATATCAGAGCATCTTACTCGACGCAGGCTGCAAACGAATGGTTCCAATCCATTTCGTCTGTTGTCAATAGTTACCTTCACAATAGCAGGCTGATGATCTTTTTGTAGTCTTGGGAGCTTTGCTTGGCATTCAAGATGGGCGTGAAGTCGAAATTGTAAACACTTTTGAATTAGCAGCCGTGGATGATGCCGTGGATCACGACTATCTGATTTCCAGGAGGGACCAATGTACGTGAATCTGATGTCCACCTGTACCAGGATGCCCGTTGACACGCGTCGTCCAAGATAAGCAAGTCTTCCCTTCACTAGAATTCATTGGATGGTACACGGTGGCTTCGTATCCTACGACAAGACACATTGCTATTCATGAACAGGTACAGATCCTCTTCTTATGCTACCGGAAGCGCAACGCGTT